ATCAATCGCTATATTGTTGTTGCCTTAACTGACTACAGTTAAGTGTCCGAATCATTTGCCTTAAACTAGTGATAGTTTAAGTGTCTGATTGCCTTAACTGACTGCAGTTAAGTGTCCGAAATCGATTGCCTTAAACTAATGATAGTTTAAGTGTCTGATTAATGATTGCCTTTTAAGAATCTGGTTATAGAAATTATGATCTAGCCTTAGACTAAGAATAGCTAAGAGCATTATTATGATCTGGCCTTAGACTAAGAATAGCTAAGAGCATTGCTATAATCTGGCCTTAGATTAAGAATAATTTAAGAGCACTATTGAAATAATATCTGAATTGAATAAAATGTATTGATATGAACTGAACAATACCAAAACTGTGAATGTCTGAAATGAACATTGTGTGCATGATATCAAATGATTTGATTATGAATTTAGATTCAGTTTATATGGATGTTCGACGCATTAGATATGCTTATTCAGCTTTACCGCTGAGCGTGTAGTGTGTTTTATTTGCTACACGCAGGTAAGCAGAAAGTACAATGTGATCCTGGCGGCAGATGGGGCGATATTGTCGGGATGGATGTGACAAGTTTTGAAACAATTTATGATATGTCAATATTAAAATCGCTTCCGCAATATTGTTGAATACTCCGTATTGTATATGTATTGAAAAATATTATTGGGATTAATAAAGTGTGTTTGAAAAGTTTTAAATTTTTACGATTACCAAGTTAAATACTTTAGTCCGAATGGGGCTGCAGACTTGGACGGATTAGGGTGTTACAGATAGCCTGGATAGAGAAGGACTGGAAAGCTACTGTATCAAACTCGTATTCACGCCGAGACAGCGCATCCGCAGCCTGATTCGCCGAACCCCGTTTCTACTCGATTTGGAATTTATATCCCATTAGTTTTTGAATATCAAATTGTTGCTTCGGAGTCTGTATGACCTGCTGTAAAAGCTTCTTTAAACTCTGTTGATCTGTACAGATGGCGAATTCACGCCCAAGGAGGTATTGACACCGTTTTTGTATAACCTCAACGATGGCGTAGAGTTCTTTGTGATAAGTTGATGCAGCCCGAAGCCGCGGTCCAATCATCTTACTAAAAAATGCAATGGGGTGGCCTTGTTGTAAGAGAACCGCCCCAATCCTCGGGGTCTGAAACATCGGTCTCCACATAAAAGGTTTATCGGAAATCGGGAAGCCTCAAAACCAAGGCTGTGGTCATGGCCTCTTTGAGGCATTCGAAGCTAACAGAGGCAGTGGGGGACCAATGGAAACTGTCATTCCTCAAAAGATACATTAATGGCGCCGCGATAACACCATACTCGGCCACAAACCGCCGGTAGTACCCTGTGAGGCTGAGAAACCCACATAACTTGGTCGCGGTAGAAGGCAGCGACCAGGCGATCATCGCTGTTATCTTATTGGGGTCGGGCATGAGTGTACCCCCAGTAATGAGATGCCCGAGATAACCAATAGTTGTTTGAAAAAAGGGACATTATCTTAACTTCACAAAAAATGATTCTCTTGAAGAGTGGCCAAGACGCTGAGCAGATGATCCGCATGCGCCGTAATTGTGGGCTATAGACTAAGATATCACCAAAGAAAAAAATCATGAATTTGCGCAAGTGCACGTGGAAAAGCTGATTCATGCCCGCTTGGAAGGTTGACGGCGCATTCGTAACGCCAAAAGGCATCACCAAAAATTCATAATGGCCCTCATGCGTACGAAACATGGTTTTGAAGACATCAGCGTTGTGCATTCGAATTTGGTGGTATCCCGAGCAGAGATCCAACTTAGTGAACCCCTTGGCCTGGCCCAATTCGTCAAAAAGTTCATCCGTAGTTGGAATGGGAAAATGATCCAGGATAGTGGCGTCATTAAGTGTTCGATAATCTACACAAAAACGAAACGCACCATCCTTCTTACAGACAAGTAAAACGGGGGAGGAGAAGGGGGCTCTAGCTGTGACGGATAAGAAATTGCTCTAGCATTTCCCACACCTGTCGCTCAATTTCAGACTTATGAAAGAATGGGTACCGATAGGGACACACATTGATGGGGCGGCTGCCATCGACAAAATGAATATGGTGGTCCCATCCACGGGAAGGTGGTAGGCTAGCAGATACCCCAAAAACCATGTGATGGGACGTGAGCACATCCCGAATAATAGGGGGCATGTCTGCGGGCAAAGAAGGGGCGACCTCAGGTGTGGCCATGGTCGAGGAAGGCGCGGGGATGACCTCATAAAATTCCACCGCCTCGGCTGCCGAAGCCAAGGTGCATAAATGCCCAAAAAAAATCGGTTTAGGTCTGGGAACATCCCCACGAAGAATAACGGGTTGGCCCAGCCACATATTCTATTGTCATATTGCCGTAATCATGCGAGACCTGACCAAGAGTCTGGAGCCATTATATGCCTAAGAAAATGTCTGGACCATGGACCTCTAAGAGAGAGATCCACCGGAAATAAGTGGCCCTGTAAGAGTATTGGTGTCTAAGGGAAAGAGTAAGCAAAGCATACATATCACCATTCCCAACATAAACCCAAAAAGGAGGAACGGGATGAAGTAAAAGGGCGAGATGCTCTGCCACTTTGGGATGTATAAACTTATGTAGGGATGTCAATTCAACCCGAACCCGAGCTTAACCGACCCGACCGACTACTAAAATATCCGAACCTGACCCAAAAATTTTTACCCGAACCCGACATCGGATCGGGTCAGGTGTGGATTTATAATTTTGCCCGACCCGACCCGAACCCAAACCCGACCTGACTAAAACCCGAATATTTTATTACATAAAAGTCTATCTATGGATATAATGAGCACTCCGTAAAATCTCTTGACAAAGTGATACTATATGAAGTATGTCTTTTATAATCATTTCTATAATCCCTTAATAAAAAATGAGACATAAAAAAAGAGACACAAAAAAATTAGATTTAATCTTTTCAAAATTATTGGGGTACGTCGAATTGATTATTTATTAAAAGTCGGGTTCGGGTTTCGGGTTGAAATGTCAGGTTCGGGTCGGGTCAGATTATTGGCTTAAAAGATCGGGGTTCGGGTTTCGGTTTTAAAATTCGGGTCGGGTTTGGGTATAGTACTATCCGACCCGAACCCGACCCGTTGCCATCTCTAAACTTATGTGTACTGCCACTGTCGAGGAGCAACTGCACGGAGATGTTGTTAATAGATCCTGTTAATTTGGAAGCACAGGGAGTCGGGCTACCGGAGAGAGAATGAACACTTGAAATATCAGTGGTAATAAGAGCAGCCTCTCCGTCCCGCGGTGTAGGTTCCAAAGATACGGAATCGTCCTTGTCATCATCAGGACCCATGAGAACGAGAAAACGGTGTTTGCAATTGTGGCCCGGTATCCACTTCTCATCACAATACCAACAAAGGCCCTTCTTGTTGCGTTGTGCTTTGTCTGTGGCTGACAAGCAAACGATGGCCAAGGACGGGTTGGCAGCCTTATCCGGTGGACGAACAGAACCCGGGGATAGCCGTGGAGCCGTGGGCGGGGTGGGCAGATGACCGGAAGAAGAAGGCAACGAAGGCAGACCAGGGGATGTGCGTGAAGACCATGCACGACGAGGCATGGTAGCGAGAAACGCCGCAGAAACTTGATGGCACGCCGACAACTCACAGGCCAAAGCAAACATTACGGGCAAAGTAGTAGGTCCCCGGAGATTGACCTCACGTTGTATCCGTTTTTTCAACCCCGAAACATACATCGCAATCAAGGTCGCCTCAGGCACCCCAACAACCTTTTTGAGAAGTGCCTCAAAAGACGACTGATAGTCCACTACCGAACCAGTTTGAGTGAGTTTGGACAGCAGCCCAACGTAATTCTCGTAGTAGCTCGGATCAAAACGTTGATGAACGGCCGATAGGAAATCCTCCCACGTAGCCCCACAGTTGTTTACTAGGTAATAGTGAGACCATTCCAAAACCGGGTGGTCGATAAGCATGACAGCCTGATAGATACGTTCATACTCCAGCGTCATAAAATAATCAAAGAATTTCTAAATACGGAAAATCCAGCCTGTGGGGTCCTCCCCGTTGAAACGCAGTGCATCGACCCGCATCTGGGGTATAGGGTCGGTTGTCCGAGTAGTCATGCGCAATGGAGGAGGACGACAGCCCTGGTGCGGCGGTCTACCGTGATGCCGCTATTCCCCCGGACGATTAGCTGACAACTCCATGACATGAACTTTCGTTGCATGAAGCTCCTTACGTATGTCGTTGATGGCCGACATGAGATCTTCAAACGTCAAAATGGGACTATTATCGGGGGAAGCGATGAGAACGTCAATGAAAGCACCAGTTGATACTCGTCTTCCACGAGGATCAATTGGCGAACGAGATGAGAGTGCCGCCTTTGCGCGGCAGGGAGAGTTACGGGAAAGAGATGAGAGAAAAAACTAGGGTTTAGAGGAATAATTATCTTATTATTATTTTTGGTAAGGGTTAACCCCCTTTTTAAATAGAAGCTAGGGTTTTCCTGTTCCTAATTGAACAAGTTTTCTACTCTGTCGGTCCAAAAAAAGTATCAAGGTAAAGAAACGAAAAGAAACCCTCGAAGGAGCTTTTAAATTGCTCACCTAACAAAAATCTAAGTTACAAAATATGAATAAGGTATTAAACATAATCTCGATATCGTTAGGGTGGCCCAACGTTCCTTCTCGAGCATATACGTGTAAGGTTGGTTTTCGGATCATCCATATCCTCCTATACGGTATCATTATTTGAGAATAATCGATACAAAAGACCTTACCAGAGTGCGAGTTCTAAGTTGATAAAGGCTCTTTTGCATCAGTTTAGTAACCGATGCAAAGAGTTTTTGCACTAATTGCACCGCTACCTTTTTATTAGTAAATAACCGATGCAAAAGGTAAAAAATAACTGTTGCAAAAGATTTTTTCTCTAAGAGATGTGTGTGTGTATACACACACACACATCTCTGTGTGTGCGCCGGATTCTCCTTAT